CTCCAGCTTCCACGACGATGCCCCCAAGGCCCACAGGCAGGTGTCTCTGACCGCAGTGAAGCAGCGATTCGAGGACAAGCGCTACCAAGAGATCAGCCAGGAGGAGGTGCCCACCCAGGGGGCTGCCTGGTCCGGGTGGGATAGCTGACAGCCACGGGGCTGCTTGGAGCTTGCTGATAGCCCCCACCCCGCAGGCGCTGAGCCACAGCCAGCTGTGTGCGGCCCTGGGCGTGAAGCAGGATCGCGCTGAGCCCACAGCCGTCCTCAGTGCGGGGGCCGTCCACGCCTTCCTCACCTCTCCCTCCGGGAGGAGGTCCAAACGGTGAGGCTCGTGGTGTGGTGGGTGGTGGGGCCTGTGAGCCACCCAGCTCCCCTCGCTGGCTGCAGCCAGCCCAGGGGCTCTGGCCTTACAGACACGCTCCACGGGCTTACAGGGAGAACAGCAGGTTCATGGGAGACAGGTCTGGGGTCAGGCCCCTCTTAATGGCCACCGTTCCTGGCGGGGTTCTCCGTTCACACTTCACCTGGCTCCTCTGGGACAAGACACTGAGCCTGGCTCAGGTCTGGCCCTGCCCATTGCGTCCCCCACAGTGATGTTCTGGCTTGGGGGCTGCGATACGGTGCCTCCCCCTGCTGCCCCGGCCCTCCCTGAGCCCAGTGTGCTCCCTCAGTGCCCAGCTGAACTTCCTGGAACATTTCCCCTCCCCGCCTCAGGAGCTCCTACTACCCCGCAAAACCCAGGCAAGCTGGGCCCTCCCTTTCTGTGCCGCCAGCTCTGCCTCTGTGGCCCCTTAGCACCATGTAGGCCCATGAGCCTCTTGAGGCAGTCTCTGTGTGGCCAGGTCACCCTGTCACACTCTGGCCAAGCGGGGTGTGTTGAGGCGGGCCTAGCAGCAGGCTCCCCAAACCCTGGGAGCCCTAGAGAAGCAGCAGACACAGGCGGCCTGAGTTCCCTGTGAGTCAGCTGCATCCTCCCCGAGGAGCATGAAGTAGGTTCCACCATGCCGAATCCCAGAGACCTGGGCCTTCGCTGCCATCTGACCCTCAGGTGTGCCAGCCTACCCAGCTCAGGCCAATTTGAGCAGCCTTTGCCTGGCGCCAAGTCAGCGTTGTCCCATCTGGTTGGCCAGCACCCTGGAAGCTGGCCTTGGCCTCCTGCCAGTTTCCAGAGGGGCTGAGAGTGTGACGCCAGCCCCCAGCTGGCCCCACACCGAGGCAGAGCCTGGTCTGCACACACCATCCCCTGTGGTAAGCCACGCTGTGACCTTGTCCCCACTCTGGCATCCTGGGGCTCTCACAGTGCACGCGCAATGCAGGTGAGAGGTGCAGGCCCGGGCTGGGCCCCCAACGCTGCCACCCATGACTGGTCTTTTGTTTTTGAGAGGGTTTTTGCTATAGGATGCACGCGCTCGCCAGAGAGCCAGACAGCAGGAAGTCACCCACTGGGGGCAAGGCCACGCGTAGTCCCTCCTCCATTCTCCTCTGGATCTTGGGCACACACAACCTTGGCTGAGTCTTAAACCACTGGGTCCAGGCCTTGACCTGTAGTTGATTACGTGGGAGTCGAGCGATAGAACCATTTCGCCCCCGCTGGTCCCAACACAAGCATGGCTCCTTGGGCTGTCACAGGAAGCGGGAGAACAGCCTCCAGGAGGACAGGGGCAGCTTCGTGGCCACCCCCACTGCAGAGCTGTCCGGCCCAGAGGAGGCGCTGCTGGGCAGCTTCCTGGACTGGAGCCTGGGTTGCTGCTCCGGCTATGAGGGCGACCAGGAGAGCGAGGGCGAGAAGGAGGGTGACGGTGAGTGTGGCCTGCCCACCGAGCACCACGCTGGGCCTGGGGGCCAGGAGGGTATGGGGGGTGCTGAGCCGGGCCTGGAAGAGCTGGGGGGGAAGGTGTGGTGAGGGGCTGGGCCAGGCCTGGGGGAGGGGGCTGAGGGAGGGTACGTGGGGCTGGGCCAGCCTACAGGAGGGCCTGTCCATGTGGAGGCAGGGGTGTGAGTCCAGCCCTCAGACACCGCAGGGCTCAGGGTTGCTCCCACTCCAGGAGAGGAGAGTGTTGCACTCATGCCTGTTCATGGCTCTGGCTGGGTCTTTGTTGGTAGGAGGGCCTCACCAGGGCAGGGGCAGCTAGGAATCCCACCTGAGTTCACAGGAAGATCCTCTAAGAACCGTGAGGTGAGCCCCTGGGCAGACATGAGCCCACCTCCACACACACACCGGCAGCCGGGTTCTGCCCAGGCCCCAGCCAGGCACGCTGCAGGAAGTCCTGTCTCCACGTCTCCCCATCCTCCCCAGGAAACCTAGTTTGGGGAAACTGCTGTTCATTTGCCAATTGCTTGCTGCTTTGGTGTTTTAGTTTTTGGTTTTGATTTGCTGTAAGGCAGGTACCCTTGCCAGAGCCCGAGAGGAAAAGTGAGTAATCCCTTCTCCTTCATTCTCTGCTCAGGGTTCTGGACACTCATACACACGTGCCTAGTGTAGTTTTCTTTTCTTTTCTTTTCTTTAAGAGATTTTTTTTTTTTTTGGAGAGATTTTCACTGAAAGCCAGACAGACAGAGAGAGACATAGAGACAGAAAGCGAGAAATCACCCCCCAGGGGGGATGGTCACGCCGCAATCCCTTCTCCTTCATTCTCCTCTCGGGATCTTGGGCACGCACGCACACGCGCTCGGCGTGAGTTTTAAGCCACCGGGTCCGAGACGTGAACCACGGTCGACTACGTGGGAGTCCAGCGATATAGCCATTACGCTAACTGCTGGTTCCCTCTTTAAGAGATTTTTGCAGGACCAGCAGTTGGTGTAATGACTGTGTCGCTGGACTCCCACGTAGTTGACCGCGGTTTGCATCCTGGACCCAATGGCTTAAACTCAACGCCAGATGCGTGTGCGTGCGTGCCCAAGATCCCAAGAGGAGAGTGGAGGAGAAGGAATTATGGCATGGCCATCCCCTGAGGGGTGATTTCTCGTTTTCTTCTCTCTGTCTCTGTCTTTCTGGCAAGCGCACGTGCCCTATAGTAAAACTTCTCCAAAAAAACGAGAGATTTTTGCTATAAGGTGTATGCTCACCAAAGAGAGAAGGTAAGAGATCACCCCGGGGGTGTGGCCACGCCATAGTCCCTTCTCCTCTGTCCTCTTGGGACCTTGGGCACAAATTCATGCATGCCCAGTGTGAGTTTCAAGCCACCGAGTCTAGGACTCAAACTGCATTCAGCCATGTGGGAGTCCAGCACCTTAACCACTATGCCACCTGTTGGGCCCCCCCACCCCAGTGTGTTTTTCAAGCCACTGGGTTTGGGATTCGAACCATGCAGTTGGCTATGTGGGGTCCATGCCACCTGCTGCCCTGGCCCCCCTTTACTGATGTTTATTTTTTCCATGCGTGAGCGATAAACGTTCGGACATACAGAGCAACAGCAGTCCCAACGGTCCTGATGCCAGTCCCCCAGCTGCCCTGGGTCATGGGCACGCGTGTGCCAACCCACTCGGAGGTTTCTGGACACAGAACCTTCCCGAGTGGGTCAGCCTCGCGGTCATGGTTTACCACTGCACCGTCCAGCCAGGACTAAGTTAGAGGGCCAGCTTATTGTCCCCCTCTGCTGTCCTGTCATGGGGGACAGCCGTCTGAGTCTGAAAGAGGCAGGGGACCCATAGCTACATCCCCAGGGAGAGCTGCCAGGGGACAGCAGTGAGGGGGTCCGGCCCCCACGGGGAGCAGAGCCTGGGCAGTTCCAGCCCAGACTGGCACAGGGCTGCAGCGTGACCTCTCTGACCTCTCCTGCAGTCACAGCACCCAGCGGTATCCTTGATGTCACCGTGGTTTACCTGAACCCAGAGCAGCATTGTTGCCGGGAGTCAAGCGACGAGGAGGCCTGCCCAGGGGATGAAGGACGCCGTGACACACACTTCTCAGTGCCAGGCACACAGATACCTCCGACGCCAGAGCCCGAACCCCGCCTCTGCAGCAGGAGGGAGCCCAGCAGGGACGTGTCGACCTCGGGGTACTCCTCCATTAACAGCGCAAGCCCCACGAGTTCAGTGGATGGCATCTTGGGGGGCCTTCCCCAATCTACCTCAGTGCTGTCCCCAGGCAACACCACCCACACACAACCTTGCCACCATCAGGCCAGGAATTCACGTGTACAGCACCAGCCCGCCAGCCCACCAGGGAGTGGCACCGCCCGGCAGCAGGTGAAGCGGAAGAGCCTCCGTGTGCATCGCGAGGAGGCATACACGGACTTGGGCTTGCCACGGCCATGAGCCTGTGCAGTGCATTTGGGAACGTTTCCCCGGGGCTGCTGGCAGGCCTGGTGCGGGCCAGGGGCTGGGTTGAAGCAGCATCCAGCACATCGGGCCGTTGCACAGAGAGCAGGGGTAACTGGTGGACACCAGGCCGCTGTCCCCAGGGCAGCAGTCAGTGTCTGAATCAGAAGGAAGAGGTCAGACCTGTCTCTGGCAAGTCCAGCCTCAAAGCAATCATGCCACACTGTGAAACCTTTGTCCCCTCCTGTATCCCGTCTGGTATCCCCAGCCCCCATGGGGCCCATGCCAGGAGCCAGCAGCTTTCACATCCAACACGCCTGTGACCCAGGTAATCCTGGCACAGCCAGAGCCCTGCCCCGTCTGTCCAGTTGGGGCTCCAATGGGGCCACTGACCACCTTGGCCTACCTGCTATGGTCTGGGTGCTGGGTGCCTGGCAGAGGGACCCAGGAAGTGGGCACCCAGACACCTTGGCCACAGCCTCCCTCCCCTGGGCTCATTTTAGACATCTGTCCCTTCTCCGGGATAGTGTGTGTCCCCCGTGATGTCCATGTGGACGTCTCTGCACCAAGTTTCTGGCCACTCTCCCTGTCTTAATTTTTACGTTTTCATCCTTCCAAGATGAAAACAAAAGAAATTTAAGATAGAAGATGTAAAGTTAAAAAAAAAAAAAAGAAAAGAAAAATGATTCTCAACATTATTTACGTTCAATTAAAAAGGAACCATCGGGGACCAGCCATTGGCATAGTAGTTACGTCACTGGACTCCCATGTGACTAACCGGCTTGAAACCCAGCCAGGGATGAGCATGTGTGTGCCCAGGTTCTGGGAAGAGAACAAAGAAGGGATTGCTCTGTGGGCATCTCCCCCATCTGCCAGGGAGTGATTTCTCACTTCCATCCCAATGTCTCTGTCTCTGGCAAGTGCAACCACCCTAGGGCAAATACCTCTTAAAAAAGAAAAAGGAGGGACCAACAGATGACATAAGGGCTACCTCACTGGACTCCCATGTGGTCGACTCCACTCTAAGTCCCAGACCGGGTTTCATGCTAGGTATGTACGAGTGCCTGCCCAAGATCCCGAGAGGAGAATGGAGAAGGGATTGTGGCATGGCCATCCCCCCGGGGGTGAGTTCTCGCCTTTTGTCTCTAGTGAGCACACATGCCCTATAGCAAAAATCTCTTAAAAAAAAAAAAAAAAAAAGGAAAAATCAGACTCCAACCCCCAATGCTTCCTGACACTCTTACACAAAAAGAATTTTCTCAGAAAGGTTAGCCTGGGAAAAGTTGATTTGTAACTTCCGAGGTGGCCAAAGAGGACAGACGGGATGGAGCTGCTGTGGGTCCTGTGGGAGGGACGGGCATTGGCCCGGAGACCACACCACACTGAGCGGCCGGACGCTGGGCAATCAGCCTGCTGAGGCCTAGGTTCAGTTTGGCCACTGACACTTCCTCTGCTGTTTCCTCTTCCAGCAGTGTCCCCCAAATGCTCTTGAACAGAAATACAGGGATGCGGAGCTTGTCACTCTGGATTTTCCCTGCGTGTCTGCAGGGCCACTGTCATCTACTATAAGAAAATCCAGACCTCCCTGGGTGGGCATGGTGCAGGTGAGAACCCAGGTGTCAGGATGGTAGACCCATCAGTGCTACCTTGGGCATGCGTGAGCCTCAGTTTCCTTGTTTGCTTTGCCTCCTCCCAGCCTGCTCCTTTAAGGGTGCCACCCCAGGGGTCCCAGGACTACCTGGCTGCTGTGAGGTCCCCTAGGGCATCTCCTCGCTGCTTGGAGCCTTCTCCTTCATATGCCACGGGCCTCCCTGAGTCCCGGCACCACTCCCTACTTTGCCTGGCATCCTCCACTCCCCTCTGTGTCCTCTGCTGTGGCATCTCCCCACGGAGGACGGAAGTGGACTCAACGTCTCATACTTAACCCCTGCTGGGTTTGTGCGCAGTCAGGTTCGAACTGCCCTGGTCAATGACACCGCCTGGCCCTCCTTGCTTCCTCCGAGCCAGCGTCTGCCCAGGGTCCCCCAGCTGTCCCAGGACTCACGGAATGAAAGCCTTGTTACTCCATCCTGTGGACACTGCCCTTGGCCCGTGCCACTCCCTCCGGAGACATTCTTCTGTTGCTTCACCATCTCCCCTCCTGATATCCGTCACTCTGTCCTGTCCATACACTCCCTACCCCATCCGGGGCCACGTGCTCAGGCCACTGCTCCTGTGCCAGGTGCAGCCCTGACCCTCCTGGAGGTCGTCACGGCACCCAGGTGTCCCTGTCTGCTCCAGCGACTGTCTTCCCACACCTGACCCTGCGCTGCGTGGCCCTGGGGCCAGCAAGGCGGTCCTGCTTCACAGCGCCGTCAGTAAGGACAGGTTCAGGCGAGACCAACCACTAAACGAGCACAAGTGCCCTGCCAGCCCCGGGCGCCCCTCAGCGGCCGCCAGCGCCG